ATACTATAGGACTAGACTATACTATAGACTAGACTATACTATAGACTAGACTATACTATAGACTAGACTATACTATAGACTAGACTATACTATAGACTAGACTAGACTAGACTATAGACTAGACTAGATTAGACTAGATTAGACTAGATTAGACTAGATTAGACTAGATTAGACTAGATTAGACTAGATTAGACTAGATTAGACTAGACTATAGACTAGATTATAGACTGTGTGTCTATAGTCTAAAGACACGTCTTCTTTAAAGTCTAAACCGAATTCCAGTAATTAATTTCGATTTTAGACTAGGCAATAGTCAATATTATTATTGATTATGCTTTAGTCCAGATTATAGACTAGACTATATTCCCGACTAAAGACTAGGCTATAATCCAGATCGTAGACTAGACTATATAATAGGCTATGGACTTCGTGGTTTACTGCACCTATAATTTTGTTGTCTGTAAAAACTTTGAATTAATTAAATAACTAATAGTTCCGGACACTGCGTCACAGACATTTTGTACTTTGTCAGCATAGGAATAATTTGATATTTTTTTGTACTTTACTTTTAGGAAAGTCTCGGAAACACAAGATAATTTTTAACACAATAGCAGGTGAACTACCTATTTATTTATACCTGTTGCTCAGAAATAAAGATGATTAATTTAGCTTTTTCTTGATAATTCAACTGTGTAAAAGATTTTAAGTACAATATTTAATTGCTATTTTTTTGCTTAAACACTTGTATGTTTTAGGCAAATTGCTCACTAAACAAAGTCCAGCTTAATAAAAACGTTTCAAATCTGTTTTGTTTTTAAATCACTCGGGCATATTAAATTCGGACTTTAGTATAAAATTTCTCTGGGTTTTTTAGACAAAACAAAAATATTTGTTTTAAAGGTCTGAGAAAAAAAACATACAAAAACTTAATAATTAAAGTAATTAAATAATATGTAAATTATTGTTATTTTAAGCAAAATAATTGTATTAAATAAAATTTAACATACTTAGTTTTGTTTAAATAATGAGGCAACTTAAACCATTTACACAAGGATTTTACTATACACTTTACAACTAAAAAAAAAAAGCTCAAGTAGATAACACTGTTAGCTAACATTATTTAAGTTGGCAACTCCATATGAAAGCGGCGTATGGCCACTTTTTCAAATGACAGTTTGCCTTTCTCTTCCTTTAAAGGTCAAAGTTGAAAGAGAATAAAACAAGCTATATATGAAGTAATAATATTTTTGATTTATTTAAAATGTTTACTTGTTAATTAGTTGTAATAAAGCGTAAATAATTTAAATGTGTTAATTTATTTACAATATTTACTGCATTATTTATTCGCTAATTATTCTGCTTAAATTCAGTCAAGCATTAAGCTTGCACTTAAGTTTGTCACACATTTTAATTGATTTTTTCTAGAAAAATCAAAATATTTACTTTAAAAGTAATTAAGGGAAATGTAAATAATTTTATTTTAAGCAAAATGTGAATCATTCGTATCTGTCTATAGTCTGAACTATAGTGTACATACAGGACTGTATTCTATTCTTTAGTCCGGACTATAGTTCACTAAATAATCTAGTCTAGTGTCTGAGCAATAGTCCAATCAATAGTCAGAACTCTAGTCTATTCAATAATCTAGAATATAGATCAATATAGTCCGTATTAAAGCCTAGTCTATAGTCAGGACTTTTGACTAGTTTATAGTCTATAGCCTAGTCTATATTCTGCACTATATTCTAGTCAATAATTGAGAACAATCCGTTCTCAATTCACTTCTATATAAAATTTAACTCACAACTTATTAACTATTGCAGCGGATTAGTTTTTTATTCGTTTAAATATTAATTATCTTGCTGTTAAGTATGTATGTATTTATGGTATATGATTTAATTATGACGCCTCCATTGACTTTGAAATTGCGATAAAAAATGTTTTTTTAAACTTGTTTCTAGTTAAATATATATTTTTGCATTTCAAAGCCGACATTTAAAACTAAATGCATAACTGCCTTATTCATAATAATTTATTAAAGGTTTATAGAAAAAATTTGTATGAAAATTTGTCTTATAAATAATCTGTTATGAATAAGGGCCTAAGTATTTAATTGTTCAATAGATAAGTAGGAACTTATGATTAAAATATTACAATTGTACTTATGTATGTATACATTTATTTTGAGGTTAAGGTCAGATTAGAGAAATATTTCAAAGAAAACTAACCGTTATTGTTTTTCGCATTACTACTCAACTTTAATAATTGTTTTATAAAATGTGTGTACAACTTAAACGTTCATAATATTCTAATTGAAACCACAGTTTTACGTCAAATGGTGGCGTTGCCATATAGCCTGTAGTCTAGTTTAATCTATAGTCCAGTCTACAGTGTAGTCTATAGGGTTCTATAAATCGACTTTCGAATAATCGAACAATCGACTTTTTGTCGAAAAAAGTCGAAAAGTCGAAGTCGACTATTTTGTTCCAAAAAAGTCGATAACTCGACTATCGTCTATGAAAAAAGTCGAAAAGTCGACTTTGTAAATAAAAGTCGAAAAGTCGAAAAAAGTCGAAAAATGGAAAAAAGTCGAATAAAGTCGAAAAGTCGGAAAAAGTCGAAAAGTCGGAAAAAGTCGAAACGTCGAAAATAGTCGAAAATTTTAAAAAAGTGGAAAAGAGGTCAAAAACTCTAAAATAGTCGGAAAAACTCGAAAAAAGTAAAAAATAGTCGAAAAAAGTCGAAATAAGTCGAAAATAGTCAAAAAATTAAAAATCGAAAAGTCGGAAAAAGTCGAAAAGTTGAAAAAAGTCGGAAAAAGTCGAAAAAAGTCGAAAAGTCGAAAAAAGTCGAAAAGTCGAAAAAAGTCGAAAAGTCGAAAAAAGTCGGAAAAAGTCGAAAAGTCGAAAAGTCGAAAAATCGACTTTTCATAAAATGGAAAAAGTCGAAAGGTCGAAAAGTCGACTTTTAACTAAATGCAAAAAGTCGAAAAGTCGACTTTTCGTTTCAACTATAGAACCCTAGTAGTCTATAGTCTAGTCTATAGTCTAGTCAATGGCCTAATCTATAGTCTAGTCTATGGTCCTAGTCTATGGTCCAGTCTATAGTCTAGTCTATAGTCCAGTCTATAGTCTTGTCTATAGTCTAGTCTATAGACTAGTTTATAGTCTAGTCCATAGACTTGTCTATAGTGTAGTCTATAGTATAGTCTTTAGTCTAGTCTACAGTCCAATATATAGTCCAATCTAATGTCTAGTTTATAGTCTAGGTTATAATCTAGTCTATAGTCTAGTCTATAGTCAAGTCTATAGTCTAGTCCAAATTCTAGTCTAAATTCTAATCTATAGTCTAGTCTATAGTCAAGTCTATAGTCTAGTCTATAGTCCAGTTTATAGTGTAGTCTATAGACTTGTCTATAGTCTAAGGTGTAGTCTATAGTAAAGTCTTTAGTGTAGTCTATAGTCCAATATATAGTCTAATCTATAGTGCAATCTATTGTCTAGTTTATAGTCAAGTCTATAGTCTAGTCTAAATTCTAGTCTATAGTCTTGTCTATAGTCAAGTCTATAGCCAAGTCTATAGTCAGGTCTATAACCAAGTCTATAGTCTAGTCTACAGTCTAGTCTGTAGTCTAGTCTATAGTCTAGTCCATAGACTAGTCTATAGTCAAGTCTATAGTCAAGTCTATAGTCTAGTATATTGTCTACTCTATAGTTTAGCCCATAATCTAGTCTTTAGTATGGTCTATAGTTAGTCTATAGTCTAGTATATAGTCTATTGTCTAGTTTATAGTCTAGTTAATCCCAGTTTATAATCTGTTTCATAGTCTTGTTTCATAGTCTTTTATAGACTAGCCTATATTCTATTATATTTTATAGTCTAGTCTTTAGTCTAGTCTATAGTCCAATCTATAGTCTAACCTTTAGTCCAGTGTTTAGTCTAGTCTAAAGCCCAATCTATAGTCTAATCTTTAGTCCAATCGATTGTCTAGCTTATAGTCTAGTCTATAGTCTAGTCAATAGTAAAGTCTGTAGTCTAATCTATAGTCTAGTCTATATTCTAGTCTATAGTCTAGTCTATAGTCTAGTCTATAGTCTAGTCTATAGTCTAGTCTATAGTCTAGTCTATAGTCTAGTCTATAGTCTAGTCTATAGTCTAGTCTATAGTCTAGTCTATAGTCTAGTCTATAGTCTAGTCTATAGTCTAGTCTATAGTCTAGTCTATAATCTAGTCTATAGTATAGTCTATAGTCTAGTCTATAGTCTAGTCTATAGTCTAGTCTATAGTCTAGTCTATAGTCTAGTCTATAGTCTAGTCTATAGTCTAGTCTATAGTCTAGTCTATAGTCTAGTCTATAGTCTAGTCTATAGTCTAGTCTATAGTCTAGTCTATAGTCTAGTCTATAGTCTAGTCTATAGTCTAGTCTATAGTCTAGTCTATATCTATAGACTAGTCTAGTCTATAATCTAGCTTATAGTCTAGCTTGTAGTCTTCTCTTAAGTCTAGTCTACATTTTAGTCTGTAGTCTATTCTATAGTTTAGTCTAGTTTATAATCTAGCTTGTAGTCTTCTCTTAAGTCTAGTCTACATTCTAGTCTATATTCTCGTCTAAAGTCGAGTCTACATTCTAAGTAGCCTATGGTCGAGTCAACAATTTAGTATCTAATCTAGTTGATATTCTAGTCTATATTTCGTTATTTTCATATAACTCTACCTTTTATTCTGTATTTTCACAATACACCACTTGAATATGGTAACACTGTTAACATCACAATCCTGTTGCCAGTGATTGAAGGAATTTTCAAATTCCCCTATAAGGCAAACCCTACTTTTTGGCAAGTCATTATAAAAAAACAGTGGCAGACAACAAATAAAAAAATTATGTTCACACAGAATTTCCAAAAAGAAAACAACAATATTCTATCTATTACCTCAATATTGTAGCAATCATTTGCATTTAATTTAATTAATCTAAAGAAAAATTCCATACGCTTGCTTACCCTTGATTTGTTTTTAATTATCCAAAAATAATTCCATTGATTGTTTTTTTTTTTTGCCGGAGGACGCCAACAAAATACAAATTCTTTTGCACCACAATTTTCGCAAAGAATTTTCTTTTTATTTAGTTATTACCACAATGAAAATTTTCTTTTAATTTAACACTTTTAATTAAATTAACTTGTGTAATTTTATAAATTTCTTTTTCGATTTCTTATTTTCCCTTTAATAAAAATACAAATTTTCTTTTTTTCTTTGCAAATGCTTTTATTTTTTTCACGTCTTTTAATTTTACGCTTCCAATCACTTGCGCGAACCGTTAATAACTAAAGTGTAAAGAAGAAAGAAAAAACAATTTTGCATTGAATGTGTTGCTGCTGCTTCTGTTGTTGTTGCGTTCGCTGCCGACAACATTCTAAACAGGCAGCAGCAAAGAAGAAGTAGAAAAAATAACAACACAAAATACCGCATGAAAAAAATGTAAACAAACCAAACTGACCAGTCTTGTTGTTATTGTTGTTGAAACAACAACAACAAAAGAAATAAAACATGAGAACATAATAATTAACATGAGAAAAATAACAGTTTTAACATGTGAATAAAGAAACTAACATAACAATTTACATAAATATTTATGTATTTGCATAAATATGTAAATAAGTTGGTATTTTTAAAGTGTTAAGGAAATGTTAAAGTTGCAGTAATACTTACTGTTAATTATAATTGAATGCTAATTTTAATTAACAGTTGAAAAATCATGTTAACAGTGGATAGAGAGCGAGTTATTGAGCATGTTTTCTAACACTTAGGAAACTACTTAACATTAGCCTAGTTTTTCTTATACTAGACCATAAACTAGACTATAGACTAGACCATAGACTAGACTATAGACTAGACCATAGACTAGACTATAGACTAGACTATAGACTAGACTATAGACTATACTATGGACTAGACTATGGACTAGACTATAGACTAGACTATAGACTAGACTATAGACTAGACTATAGACTAGACTATATACTAGACTATAGACTAGAGTATAGCATAGACTATAGACTATACTATAGACTAGACTATAGACTAGACTATTGACTAGACTATAGACTAGACTATAGACTAGACTATAGACTAGACTATAGACTAGACTATAGACTAGACTATAGACTAGACTATAGACTAGACTATAGACTAGACTATAGACTAGACTATAGACTAGACTATAGACTAGACTATAGACTAGACTATAGACTAGACTATAGACTAGACTATAGACTAGACTATAGACTAGACTATAGACTAGACTATAGACTAGACTATAGACTAGACTATATACTAGACTATAGACTAGACTATAGACTAGACTAAAGACTAGACTAAAGACTAGACTAGAATATAGACTAGACTATAGATTAGAATACAGACTAGACTATAGACTAGACTATAGACTAGACTATAGACTAGACTATAGACTAGACTATAGACTAGACTATAGACTAGACTATAGACTAGACTATAGACTAGACTATAGACTAGACTATAGACTAGACTATAGACTAGACTATAGACTAGACTATAGACATAGACTATAGACTAGACTATAGACTAGACTATAGACTAGACTATAGACTAGACTATAGACTAGACTATAGACTAGACTATAGACTAGACTATAGACTAGACTATAGACTAGACTATAGACTAGACTATAGACTAGACTATAGACTAGACTATAGACTAGACTATAGACTAGACTATAGACTAGACTATAGACTAGACTATAGACTAGACTATAGACCTAGACTATAGACTAGACTATAGACTAGACTATAGACTAGAACTATAGACTAGACTATAGACTAGACTATAGACTAGACTATAGACTAGACTATAGACTAGACTATAGACTAGACTATAGACTAGACTATAGACTAGACTATAGACTAGACTATAGACTAGACTATAGACTAGACTATAGACTAGACTATAGACTAGACTATAGACTAGACTATAGACTAGACTATAGACTAGACTATAGACTAGACTATAGACTAGACTATAGACTAGACTATAGACTAGACTATAGACTAGACTATAGACTAGACTATAGACTAGACTATAGACTAGACTATAGACTAGACTATAGACTAGACTATAGACTAGACCATAGACTAGACTATAGACTAGACTATAGACTAGACTATAGACTAGACTATAGACTAGACTATAGACTAGACTATAGACTAGACTATAGACTAGACTATAGACTAGACTATAGACTAGACTATAGACTAGACTATAGACTAGACTATAGACTAGACTATAGACTAGAGTATAGACTAGACTATAGACTAGACTATAGACTAGACTATAGACTAGACTATAGACTAGACTATAGACTAGACTATAGACTAGACTATAGACTAGACTATAGACTAGACTATAGACTATTGACTAGACTATAGACTAGACTATAGACTATTGACTAGACTATAGACTAGACTATAGACTATTGACTAGACTATAGACTAGACTATAGACTAGACTATAGACTAGACTATAGACTAGACTATAGACTAGACTATAGACTAGACTATAGACTAGACTATAGACTAGACTATAGACTAGACTATAGACTAGACTATAGACTAGACTATAGACTAGACTATAGACTAGACTATAGACTAGACTATAGACTAGACTATAGACTATTGACTAGACTATAGACTAGACTATAGACTATTGACTAGACTATAGACTAGACTATAGACTAGACTATAGACTAGACTATAGACTAGACTATAGACTAGACTATAGACTAGACTATAGACTAGACTATAGACTAGACTATAGACTAGACTATAGACTAGACTATAGACTAGACTATAGACTAGACTATAGACTAGACTATAGACTAGACTATAGACTAGACTATAGACTAGACTATAGACTAGACTATAGACTAGACTATAGACTAGACTATAGACTAGACTATAGACTAGACTATAGACTAGACTATAGACTAGACTATAGACTAGACTATAGACTAGACTAAACTAGATTAGACTATAGACTAGACTATATACTATACTATAGACTACACTATAGACCACACTATAGACTAGACTATAGACTAGACTATAAACTAGACTAGACTATAAACTAGACTATAGACTAGACTATAGACTATAAAGTAGACTATAGACTAGTCTATAGACTAGACTGTAGACCAGACTGTAGACTAGACTATAGACAAAACTATAGGCTAGACTATAGACTAAACTATAGATTAGACTATAGACTAAGCTATAGACTAGGCTATAAACTAGACTATAGATTGTAGAATAATAGATTATAGAATAAACTGTAGACAAGAGTATACATACACTAGACTATTCTCGTAAATAAATAATTAAAATGTAATCTTAACGTTTAACATGTATCACCCTGTTAAATCTAATTTAATGGTGGCGCCATCTAGTGTCAGCTAGCATTTCTACTGATACCTTAAAACTACACTAAAGGCTGTTGCTATGAAAACGTCATGTAAAATTGCCTTTTAAATATTTTTCAAAAAATCCCCTGTCCACCCCTTTGTTTCGTTATTTTCCCTTAAAACCTAAACATTTCACTACAATTTTCTTTCACGGAAACTCTAAAATAATGAAAATATTTTCTTTAAAATGTTTTATCAGTTCAGATACGTTATATATATATTTTTTTATTATTATCATTAATAATGTATTCACTAAAAACAAAATAACAAAAATTCTAATATAAATATGTATGTATGTTTATGTAGTTATATAACAACAAAATGTTTTAGCTATTATATAAAAAAGCATTGATGAAATGTTGATACAACTTAACCAATAAAATATTTCTTTTATAAGATATAATAATGATAAGTTTTAGGATTATAGAAATGACCATAGATATCATTATTACTTCCTTGAAAGAAACCTGTTAGTTAAGTGTTAACAACATTTTATCAGCGTTATTTATATTGTATGTTAAATGTAATTAAGTACGAGTTAAATGTAAAAATGTTATACATGTAGTTATGACATTAAAATGTTTTAAAAATCGGGGATTCTAAATGGTGAAGAAAACAACAAAAAAATCTTCTGAAAAATTTCTCAACATTTTTAAATTATTAAAATCTTTTTAAAATTTATTTCATATTTTTTTTTTGAATTTTTCAGAGTTTTTTTTTAATTTGTTTAACTTTAGTTTTGTAATAATTCCAAATTAGAAATATTCCTTTATCCACCATTTATCCCCATTTTTTTGTTTAAATTTTTCATGTTTAATACTAAAACTTATGTTTGATTTAATGTTTTTTATAATTAACTATAATTAATTGAGGCAATTCAAATTGTAGTGAAATGTTTTAAGTTTTTTTTGTTTGTTTTGTTTTCAAGTGTGTCTTTTTGTGTGTCATTTATGTTTTGCGGTAACTATAAGATACGACAACACTGTACGATACTTGAACAATACGTTTCCGAGGAACTTCTATTCGTTAAATGACTACTATCGTTTGTCTGAAAATATATATAAGAAAAATGATATAGAGTGTATATAATAGAGAAAGAAAAATCATAGCGATTATATAGTAAATGATTCATATTAATGTGTGATTAAAAAGGCCGACTTAATATTAGCTATAAATATCTTAATTTAAAGAGAAATATTATATTTCTCTCGACTATAGTCTGAGCATTATACTAGTCAATAATCTGGACAGTCTATACTCTGTAGTCTATAGTCTGGACTATAGTATAGTTTATAGTCTAGCTTATAGTCTCGTATGTAGTCTAGTCTCTAGTTTAGTATATAGTCGAGTCTATAATCTAGTCTATAGTCTATTCTATAGTCTATTCTATAGTCTATTCCATGGTCTAGTCTATAGTTAAGTCTATAATCTAGTCTATAGTCTAGTCTATAGTCTAGTCTATAGTCTGGTCTATAGTCTAGTCTATAGTCTATTCTATAGTCTATTCTATAGTCTAGTCTAGTCTATAGTCTATTCTATAGTCTATTCTATAGTCTAGTCTATAGTCTATTCTATAGTCTATTCTATAGTCTAGTCTATAGTCTAGTCTATAGTCTAGTCTATAGTCTATTCTATAGTCTATTCTATAGTCTAGTCTATAGTCTAGTTTATAGTCTAGTCTATAGTCTAGTCTAGTCTATAGTCTAGTCTAGTCTATAGTCTATAGTCTAGTCTAGTCTATAGTCTAGTCTAGTCTATAGTCTAGTCTAGTCTATAGTCTAGTCTATAGTCTAGTCTAGTCTAGTCTATAGTCTAGTCTAGTCTATAGTCTAGTCTATAGTCT